CTAGGGGAAGAATCTGCAATGTTAATGGTCAAGGTCTCATCATTTTACAGTTAAAAAAGACAAGAAAAAAAGTCAATGTTTTGGGGGGGGCTTTTAAACATTTAATGTTTTTAAAAATTACATTTAAAATAACGTAAAAGCAAATTAAAAAAAAAAAAATACCCTTTGGGAATTCAAGTAAATTTGTTTAAAGACTTTCACCTGCTTATTAACTGATTTTTTTTTTCTCTCTCTTTTTCTTTGTAACTCAGGCATGCCTAAATATAAAAGAATTTTGAGTGCCATAATGACGAAAAAATGTAAAGAACTTGTATCACTAGAAAGGTAGACAATCAAAAAAGCTGAGGTTTGAAGATATAAAAAGAACAAAATGTCAGAAATCACATAAAAAAGAAAAAAAATCACAACAGTCTAAAATTGTTAAGTCATCTCACCTTTTATATTTAATTAAATATTCTAAAGTAAAATTCAAATAAAATAATCCACTTGAATATTTTAATCTAAACCTGTGGAACATAAATTTGATTTAGTTAATGTGAAAGGTTCATTCATGATATGTTCATTGCAATCTGTCCCCCCTGGGAAGATCCATTCTCAGACATGGACCAACTGAGAGATTTAATCTTATTTTGTCAGCACATTTGACATTTACTTACCTTTTTTTTCCTTATAAAGTAGCAGAGTTAATTCAGTAATAAAATCAATGTGTTACTACATGATTGACAGGTAATTAAAAGCTAATTTCAAAAATATTTTTTTCTCTTCTCCAACAAGAAATGTTCATATCTTTACCCAGTAAAGAGAGGGTGCTGAAAAATTCTTCACCTGACTAAGAAGACCATTTCACTATCTAATTCAATGTTTTGTCATTTACTCAGATTTTTGGAAGTGGCTCAAGCTGAGAACATTTCAGCATTTCACTCAAATTTTAGCAATGTGTTTTGGAATGAATTTATATATAAAACTCTGTAACTTCTGTTATTCCATCTATCCCTCTATCATAACCACTAAAATAGCCATACATTGAACGATTGAAACCAAAGAAGGCCAAACAGGAAAGGGGGTACAAAGTACAGTTGGTTTAACTAGGAGGCATGAAAACAACAAAGTAGGGTTTTTGTGAAAGTATTTTTCCAAACAAATCAGTATATTCAAATTTTATCGATTGGTTTGCAAAATTGAACAAAATGTAGAGTTTATAAATCTTGACAAAAAATGTTAGCAATAACTTCAACAATACAAAATACTGTGAGGATTTTAACATTCATCAATGTGTTGCAAAAAAGTTCCAGTTAAAAAAAAAAAGAAAAAAAAAGGTACATCTCTCATTGAGACAGTTCTAAGTCTATATCTGCTTTTCCATATGAAAATAATTTTAAGTGGTTCATTGTTTTTTTGTTTTTTTTTAATTCAACATTATTCCTAATTTACCTGATAAAAAGCACCAGTTATTGGGTCCTTTTTATACTAATTAAAGTAGGCATGTATATTTTGACATTAGTAATGTCTAAATCAGTTTTATAATTTTAAAAATAAAAAATGAGCAAGAAGTTTTTTCTCAATTTTTTTCTTCGATCAATAACTAATTCAACCATCTTAGATGTAAAATAGCAACATCTATTTATTTGTTAAATTCATCTTACTCTTTCTACTAAGAGTGTGTGCACATACACTTTTAAGAAAATTTATTTACACTTAAAATTATTAAATTCTTTAAAAACAAGAAAATAAAATCTATTGAAAAATATAATATAGGCTAAAATGAAAATTTCTAAAAGAAAATGCTAAAATTTGAAAGAGAATATTCGTTTGACCATAACTAAATCGGAAGGTTAACAAATATCATAAGAGAGATCGTAATTGGTAGAGTGTGAGTATTTATGGTTCAATATAGTATTGTTCATGGGTGTATCCTCTAACTTTTAGGCTTAAAAATCTGGGAAAAAGTACATATTATACACAAATAATTACAGTACAACATTGTACATAATAATTCAAGATTATATCTTAAAATGAAATGATCAAATTTCTGTCTTATTTCTGCAAGTTAAATCATTTGGATCCATTTGGCTATAAAATATAGCAAATACAAAACATTAAATAAACAGTGTATATAAAATCTTTGTCAAGCAGCTTTGGAATAAGTGAGGCTAATGTACTTATGCTTTTTTTTTTTTTTTTTTTTTTTGTAAGTACTATTTCTTTAGTAGTAAATATTGTTAACATTATACTCTGCTTCAGAATTCTCTATACAGTGTTGTATCAACAAAGCAATTGTATAAGATTGCTAACAGGTGGACTGAACTCATTCTGAATTTGTTTACTTAAAGCATTTGTGGCTGTTCCAGATCAGTGAATGAGGTTTCAAGATGGTATTGCAAGTGGGAGTGAGGTGTTCACTCCTTATAATTTTCTTTATTTCCTGAATTAAGATGTATTTAGTTACTGCTTTTATGCATACATACAAGAGGAACCCATTTGAAAGTGCTGTTTAATAAAATGAGGTCATCAAATATGATTGCAGAAATACATTTTATATCGTATAATTTCGACATTGTAGTGAATTTCAGATAGCCTAAGAATATTTTAAATAATCTTCCTCTATCTAAAATGATCTTGTGTGCTTTACATTCATTGCTTGTTATAGCTGCTGTTATAACGAAATAAACAAGTTGAAGATCAGATATTGTTATTATTTAAACCTTTATTTTTGGTAATACTGACATTGAATACTGGATTGAATAGATTGAATGTTTTGCATGTGTGTTTATGTGTCCACCATTGTTGGAGTCCCCTGCAAGCCAAAAACTTTCCAGTCAAGGCTGATAACTCTGTACGGTTATCTCCCTTAGTTGGCTCCACCATAGCACTCTCCTTTTTTTTTTTTTTTTTTTTTTTTTTTTAAGATATTGTACCTTGCAAGTCTAGGGTTTTACTTGCAAGGGTTTTAATTTTGACTGAATGCATTTCGATTGCTACTATCTGGTGCTGATTTAGTTAGAGATGGGGGTTGTGGCAAATCAAAAGTGTCCATGAGTAAGTCGAAGGGAATGGATGGGTTGTCAGGTAGTGGGTCATTCTTTGTTTTTTGTAGCCGAAGTTGCTGTTTGTGTTGCACCCAGACCTGGTTTCCAACTTTTACCAGGTCGGTAATTTCTAGCAAATACTGGTGTGTGTATTTGTAGTGTCTTTTGTGGTTGTGGGCCCTGGACTTGTTTTTGTTGAGGACATAAGGCGTCCAGTGTTATACAGAGTTTCCTTCCCATAAGTGCCTCTGCTGGTGTTTTACTGACACATTTAGGGTTGAGCTAGTGGTGTCGTATTGTGACAATGGTGACCTGGCTACCAAATTGCAGGTGTGTTGAAGAGGCCCAGTGACTCCATAAAATCTAACCCCAAAAGGTTATGGTTCGTGTTTGCCACATAAACAACACCTAATGTTCCAGTCCCATTTAGAGTTACAGTGGCTGTGAATTTGCCAGTAATACGAGCACTATCTCCAGACACACTCCCATGTGATGTTGGCTCTAATTTAGGTCTGTCTATGGTGTTCCATAGTTTTTTTTTTTTATTATAGTTATATCTGAGGCAGTGTCAATTTGCAGTTGTGTGTCATGGTTATTTAAGGTAACTGAGACATATTTACGTCTCTACATGGAATTTGGTATGAAATTTGCTACAAGACTGTCAGATTATGAATGTTTGGAGGGTCACTCTATATCAGATGTTGACTTGTGTTGAGGTGACTGACAGAAACCATTCTTGTATCCTATTTTGTTACATCTTCAGCAGTAATGTGTCTTGAACAGACAGTTACGTTTACAATGCCATCCAGCACAGCTCCAACATGTGAACAGGCACTCACCAGCCCTCTTGTCCAATGCCGAACAAGAGGGCTTGGTCTTGTCATTGGACCTTATTGACTGTAATAGCTGTGGAAGGGGTTGAATATTGAACCATGAAGGAGTCATCTTTCAATATTATAAGGCACTAGCATTCAACTGCTACTTGTTGCAGTGTAATTTCGGGATTCTGTTCAATTTTTGACAGGATTCAAGTATGAACTTCTGCATCACCTGGTGAACGCAGGCCACAGACAAAAATTAAGCATTTAAATTAGGAATCTGTCATTGATGATAGTCCGAAACCTTCACATTCCCAGTTGATAATACTGGCATATGTGGTGAAATTTACATTATCATGTTTTGACAAATTCAAACAATTGAAACGTAAGTTAAAAATAGATGTTTGCTCACCGAAAATTTTTGTCAATATGTCCACTGTTGTTTTTAAGGAGTAGTTGCATGGCCATTTAGGGAGAATATAGTTGGTATATTTCTTGCGTTCCAGCACTCCAAGTTTTCATAGAAGAAGTCTGGATTTCCAGTCATCAGTTTATGCCAAAAAGTCCACATGAAAAAGATCTTCGCAGCATTTGAACCATGTGTTGAAAATTGAATTTGCAGCTGGGTCATAGTGGAATTCTGTGATGGATTCTGCAGTCAATTCCGCTATAGATAAACTGGTCTCTTGTGACGGTGTTGTGCTGGAAATTTTGTTTGCAAGCAGTTCCATTAATTTCAACTGTTTCTGAAGAATTTGTTGAATTAGATTGTCCATGATGAAAGGGAAAAAAAAATTTTCTTGTTGTGATGTTCTATCTCATCCACATCGCCAAATTATTATATCTGCTGTTCTAACGAAATAAACAAGTTGAAGATCAGATATTGTTATTATTTAAACCTTTATTTTTAGTAATACCGACATGTAACCAGCAGATAGGAGAGGATTGAATAGAGCTGTTTTGCATGTGTGTTTATGTGTCCACCACTGTTGTAGTACCCTGCAGGGCAAAAAATCCCTGGTCAAGGCCAATAACTCTGTATGTTTATCTCTCTTAGTTAGCTTCACCATAGCACTTGCCCTGTGTTAATAGATTTCTTTGTCTTTCAGACTCTGATCTGCTGCTCTTTATATTCTATTTTTTTTTTTCTCTTCAGGTAAAAGCAAAGAAGCAGAAATAAAACGCATCAACAAAGAACTGGCTAATATCCGCTCAAAGTTCAAAGGTAAGAAATTTGTAATTTCAGGCTGTAATTTTAAAAGTATTACTTACTGACTTTCAATGTTGTATTTGTTTGAAATTAGGTTTGATGCTATTACTATAGAGGAAGTTGGTGAATATTTCTCTTCATATCTAGATAATACTAAAACTTTAATCTTGTATGTATATTCTTGAGATACAGCTTAAATGATACATAATACTACAACCAATTTAGGAGCATAGTATACTTTGAACCCCTGTCAAGTGCAGTGTCTAATTTCATTAAAATTAGATTAGGTTCTTTTACTAGGGCTATCTTTCTATTTTTTTACAGCATTTTTAATAAGAAATTCAGCATTTATTTTCAATACACATTCTTATATCAATCTGTGTATATAAACAAACACTTGAATATTATATTCCAACTATTATGTGTGTGAAAAATAAACTTTCATAATACGTTATAACAACATTATTAAATAAATTTAAATATACATAACACAACATATATTTATACAATTTACTACACTACATAATAACTTTTCCCATAAACAAATATCATGGATGTTTGGCAAGCACTTGATAGGTGAAGATACTTTGTGGGTGTGTAAAAACATAGTCTGTATGACTGGAAAATTGTCACATGAGTTGATGGTAATTAAATAGATGCACGCAGGTCTTCTGTCATTATATATTTGAAATAAATGGGAAGAAGAAACAAGTATGTTTAATGAAAAATATAATTATGTTGAAAAAAAAATTTCCTAGAAAAAAAATGAAACTAAGTGCACAAAAAGGAGGCATCCATACTTAGTTATTCTAAGAAATATAAATCTCCCTAAGCAGATGATTGCTGTTTTTTTTTTTTTTTTTAACTTTTGAAAATTATAATATGGTAAATACTAAAATTATTATAAATTGTCACCCAGGGCTATTATTACGTGAATGGGAAGGCCCTTTGGAAAGGCATTTTGTATTATGAACTGATTTTAAAATGAAACCAATAGGTGTATTTGTGGTCTAGTTTATTTTAAAAAGAAAATCTTTAAAGATTTTAAAGAAAAATTTTATGGCAACTGTTTTAAATTATTGGAATCATAAAAATTTGGGTGCTTGTTCCTAGTGTTCATGTAAGAAGTGTAACTTTTCAATTGATTTTTCTATTTGTTGCATAATCAAAAAAAAAAAAATTTCTGTCCACTTATTTTTGCATTCACATCCTGAAGTTGATAGCAATTATCATAAATATTGGACTTAAGTCAAAAAAACAGTATGCATTGATTTGAAACCACTTTGCCTTCTCTAAATGTTTTGTTTTTCATATTACTATTACCAAATATGGGAAATCAGGCTGTATATAGCAGTAATACTATAAAATCACATTGTTTTATATTATAGAATAAATTATTTTTTATTTTCTAACATATTACAAAGAAAGAATCTTTTTCAACAAATTTTATAATTTCAAATTTGGACAATTGAGGTCTGTTTTTTCTTTCTCTTTTTATAGTGATGTTTTGATAAATCAAATTTAAGACAGAAAGAAACCTGACTAATTGTTTTCTAATTAACTGCATATTGGCTTTGCTGACTTGATTATTTTCATATTCACTTATTTTTCTCATGTGGCAAGTAAGTTAAACAAGGAAAGGACTTTTGCTAAATTGGAATTGTGTGTAAGTTTTAAATAACTGTTATGACTATTTATTGAAGCTCATAATCTTCAATGTGTATCTAACACTATTACATTTCATGAAGAAAGTGATGTTAAATCCTTTTGTACTTATCTATGCCCTGTCAGCTGGGGCCTCAGAATACCCCAAGTGCACCTCTGCAGAGGGGGTAAGACCCCTTCCCATGAGATATGCCAGGTATGACGATAAACTACATCCAGCAGCAAGGCCTCTGTTCAGAAGGTTTTGAAGAGTGTGGAACCACCTCTTAATAGCTGGTGTTCACCCTGACCTGGGGTGATAGCATCTGTTAGGGTCCCAGCTATGGGCAAATAGTTAACCCATAAACTGGGGTCAAAACACTATGAAAGTGTAAAAATAGGTTTTAATACCAGCAATAAAAATCTTGTTGGCATTAAATGACCCATTGAGGTTGATATGCTGTAATCAAATACCAAACCAAATAAAAAATCTTTCGTACTTATCTGGATATGAAAATTGAGAAATATCTATACTATTCCAACAACAATGACATCATCACACGTATTTCAAAATTTCTAATATTAAAAATAAACTCAAAGTATCAACCTTATTTTTCCATGGCCTTATTTTTTTTATGAAATTCCAGGATAGAAAGTGATAGTTAAAATTTCAACGATACATTACAAGAAAAGAGGACTAGGAGAATTTTAAACTCACAAGACCTATTGAAGACAAAAGGACAGAGAGGAAAACTGCAAATAACTACCTAATGAGCATGTGTAAATGGATGGCAGAAGGAGGAGTGGGTGTGATAGTGAAAAGATAAAACTTACTAAGGGCTTCAAAGGATAGGAAGTTGTGGTGAGCTATGGATGCCCAGCTCCTAAAGGGACACAGCATATAGAAGAATTTTATTGAGTAATAAAACAAAAGTCTAGAAAATAGTATTAGACTTGTTAGTTTGTTAATGAAACATTTGCATTAGATTAAGTGTTTTTGGTTATAAACAATAGAACATTTATTTTGTCAATTTCATAATGTAAGCTAAACAAAAGTTTTCACTGTTCCTAGCACTTTTCTCTTGTTGAAAGGTGAGTGTCAAGTTTATAAAACATTTTTATGACATAAACCTGCTATTATGAATGCACATAAACACAGGAAGAGACAAAAGCTTTTAACTCTTAGCATTCATAACACATTTCCTCTTATAATGGGTGGTAAAGATTTGAAGAAATTTGATAAAAATATAGGCCTTTCACAAAAGTAAGAATAACTTTCATGTCTTCCTACAGAATTTTCTGAAACTTCCAGAAAATAAAGTTCTATGATGTGGCTACTTGCCAATAAATAAGTATAACATTAAAGTCATTATTACTTGTATTACAGGTATTTTACTAGAGACAAAAAAACAACTTGTGAATTAATAATAGAGCCATAAAGTTTTTAAAAAGGACAATTAAACTAAACTTAAAAATCAATATTACCAATTATACATCAGGTCCAATAAGCAAACAATATATATCAAAATCTAGTGCTTTACTATTCAGAAAAATGAATAAATGAAAGAGTAACAATACAGGTAAAAACTGTACTTGTGACATTATCACTCTTACTGAAGGTCTCTGATGTACACAGTTGAAATTGCTGGTGTGTACAGATGGATATGAAAATCTATCACTCTTAGCATCATTCCCAATTTCATTATCCTTTTTGTCAAAACATTTTTTTAATAAACTGGCTAAATTCAGGATCAACTTTGTTCTCAGAATCCCTTATTTTGTTGTAGCATTATGATTGATAAAAAGTCTAAAAAATGTCATTTAAATGCAATTAAAGATTTAAGACGAGTCATATAGATGCAGTCATTAAATCAATCTTCTTTGCAACAAGATCTAAAACCATTGGTTTTTACACAACATATATGGACTATAGTTCTTTTGTTCATAGTTGAGTAGTACAAGATGAAAGTGTGAGTGCAGTATTAAGCACTATGAGATGCTAAGAATTTATGGTAAAAATGAACTGTTAAGTTTACCTATTTGTTTCATACTTCACAAAAACGATCATGGCTCTCCACAATTTCCTGTCCTTTGTAGCTCTTAATAAATTTTGTTTTTTCGTTATTTCTCTTAAACTCTGTTCCGTCATACATTTACTCAAGCTCATTAAGTATGTTATGCTTTGTTTTCCTCTGTCCCTCTTGCCCTCAATCTGTCCTGTAAGTATCAAATTTTCCAGACTCTCCTTCCTCATTATATGCCGCAGAAATTTCAACTGTTTCTTAAGTATAAGTTTCTTTTGGTTAAGGGTAATAAATTTAAGTAACGCATTTGCTTTCGTAAGAGAAAACAAAAAAAGAAAAACCTAAAATTAAACTGTTAGTAAAGATGCTATTTTTTACTTATTTCAAAAATTCTATTAGTTTAGTTACATTGAAATGTCTTTTTTGCTAAACCCAATCATAAAAAAAATTAGCTATATAAGCAATTTGAGTATGAATTCTGGTGCAAAAATCAAGCAAACAGACTTCTGATCAAAATCCCAAGTTGATTATAAAAAAAAAAAAAAAAAATGTGTATTTGGTTTTTAATATTCAGTTCATAAATTTTTATAATTGCTTTCAGTAGGATCTAGAGACAGGATGGATGACATTTTTGCAGATTTGTTGAAACATAAAATTAAACTGATGCAAGAATTTAATATTTTTACTTTTCTCTCTTTCTTTTTTTCTCTCTACTCTCCTTCTCTTCACTCCTCTTTCCCCTCTTTTATTTCCTCCCCCTCTCTAAAATGTAACATTTGAAGAAAGTGCAAGTTTTGCATAGGGATGGAAAGCAAGGAAAGTTAATATTAGCAGCAATACGTTTTTGAAAAAAATATTACCAGCTATACATTTTTGAGGAAAAAAAATATTAACAGAAATAGATTTTGACAAAACAAAAATATTACCAGGAAAAAAAAAGTTGCCAGCATTAAATGACCCATTGAGGATGATATGCTATAAAACAAAACAAACAAACAGCAATCTTAGTTTTCAAAACAACTGTAAAATTTCCATGGGTACTACCAGTATTTATTAAAGAAATACTGACACTATAAAAATTTTAAGTCTTAAATCTTGTGTTATAAAAGTTGTTTGGCTTCTCCATAAAAAGACCAAGTAAAATAGTTTTGTTCTACTGTTTACATATATTATCAAACTGTTATTTAAACTTTTCTTTTGAATAAATTTTTGACAAAGATGGATAAATGTGCTCACAATAAGAAACTGTCAAAAGTGTGGCTTTTCCTATGGCACTGCTTTTTTAACTACCTACATTCTTTGGCAACGTTTGTTTTAAAAAGGGATGATTAGAATTGGAATAAAACCTAAACATATGATGAAAATGAATTTATTTTCTTTGTTCTTGAGAATTGATAACAAAAAATAATAAACACTGTTTATTAGATTGTTTATTTATACTATTGTTTATTGGAATGGTTGGCAAAGCATCAGCTAATTGTCAATTGATTTGAACTTTATAAAATGGTAATTAAGGATTTACTTCCAATGTTTTAATAATTTAGTAAACATTTATAGATTCATGAAAATTATTTTCACATTTATTTCTAGTTGTATTATCTTTTAGAAGGTTTTAAATATAAAATTATTCTTGTAAAGAAATAATCTAATGAATAGTGTTTAATACAATTGTTTTTAATTCTCAAGAACAAAAAAAATGTATCAATTCACTTTCATCATACGTTTAGGTTTTATTTCATTTCTAATCATCACTTTTTAAAATGGTAAACTTTGCTGAAGAGTGAAGGTAGTTAATAAGAGTGGTGTCATGAACGGGGAAAAAAAACATCTTTGAAACTCTTATTGTGGACATGTTTATCTATGTTTGCCAAATCTTTCAACTACTTTCATAGCAAATCTCTCAAAGCTACTGGAATTCTTATTTGAAATCCTTTATTCTCAATGCTGAGTAAAACTAATGCTGATTATCACTTGAAGCTTTTGCAATCCATATACATTAAGTCGGCCCAACCATCTTTCTCTCAGCAGGATGAGTGGTTGTTGGCTAATTAACCTTTTAATGTTAGATTTTTTGTTTGCATATAACATTAGTTTTAGTAGCTGTAGACATATTTTGTCCTCAATTTTTGCTGCGAGGAAGGAGAACCAATAAACTTATTTAACTATTTTTAATTGTTATATTTTAGAAATATATTTTTTCTACCTCTTTTTTTTTTTTTTTTTTTTTTTTTTGAGTAGCCTTTTTTAACATGTCTGCTCTTATTGCTAATAAAATTTTGTACCTTTTGGGAAACTATTGAAATAATTCACTTTGTCACTTTCATAAGACCAAGAATGATTGTTTTCTGAAAATGTGTGTACATATTATGAATAGAAGATTTTAGTTTTTGTCCTAATGTTTGTCATTTACCTTTTGATATAACTATGATTATAAATCAAGCCTAAGCAAGTTAACATTTTGATAATAGGTGACATTTTGGTAGTAACACAGTACTCAAATGTATATCATATTAGTACATATTTGCATTTTTCTTTTTTTTATTTTATAGTGTACCTTTTTTGTTTTCAGGTGACAAGACCTTGGATGGTTACCAAAAGAAGAAATATGTCTGCAAACTGCTCTTCATCTTCTTGCTGGGACATGACATTGATTTTGGACACATGGAAGCAGTCAATCTGCTCAGCTCAAACAAATATACAGAAAAACAGATTGTAAGCATTTCTTTATTCAACATTTTATGATCGTCACACACTTGATGCAATATTTTTATGCTTGTTGGAAATCCTCCTATATTGTTTCAGAACTCGTGTAAACCGTCTGACCCTTCCAACTACTAGCCTATTAGCTTTCTACCTCTTTTTGGTAAACTACTAGCTGCAGGGCCTTCTTTCAGAGAAACAATACAGCTTTTGCTTCTCTAGGTCAACAGCTAATGTACTAATGACTATTACTGAAAGAGTCTATCAGTCTTTAAATAAGACAGGTGAAGCTTTGGCAGTTGCTTTAGACATCACGAAAGCATTTGACAGGGTTTAGCATACTAATCTTCTTTATAGTTGAAAGGTTATGGTATTTCTGAATGAATTTTTGAACTGATTCAGCAAATTATGTAATGAAAGTTGTCCTCAATGACCGATCTTCTAGATCTTTTACTACTCATACAAGTGACCCCAGGGCTCTATCCTTGGATCTACTTAGTTCTTAATTTTCACTAATGACCTTCCTGATGGGATCAGTTCTCAACTCTGCATCTATGCTGATGATACAATCATTTACTCCTCTCTTGATAGTAAGTCATTGTGGTCAAATTGGTGGCTGATCACAAAAATGATATACAGTCCATTGTTAACTGGAGCAAAGAATGACTTATTAATTTTAACACCCCTAAAATGAAACTTTTCTCTATCAATCACCTGAAAGACCCTTTTCTGTCTCCCATCAGCATGGCTGATGCTAACTTCCATGAGAATGATTTGTTGCACCTTCTCAGGCTTACATTCTCGGCTGGCATGAAGTGGAAAATTATATTGAATCCATTGCTAGGTCTGCTCCTAAGAAAGTTGATACACTGTGTTGTGTAAGATAATTTTTCTCTCCTGAACCTATCTATTTATAAGTTTACCATTCGTCCATGCTTTGAATATTACTGCCATATATAGTCTAGTGCTCTTGCTGTATATCTAGAGATTCTTGATAAATGAAGAATCAGCAATATTATTGGTCCTGACCTGACATTTCAGCTTCAGTAACTTTCTCACTGCTGTAATATAGCTACCC